TTTTTCTCAAACTAAATATGAGAAATAATATTTGCCTACATGGAAAGTTTGCTGAAAAATACAATTTGTTGATTACATAGTATATAAATTAATGATTGATTTAAAAATAACATTATATGATGTTTACCACATGCTAGACATTTTGCTGGTCACAGGGGATACAAAGAGAGCATGGCAATTATTCTCAAGTGAGACATAGAAATATGCAAAAATAAGTACACTTAATTTGGGATATGCAGAGCTCTATTACAGGAGCACAGAAAAGGGCATTTCACCCAGCCTGGGAACTTTGTGTAAAGCTTTCTGCAGCAATTCTTGGACTAAATTTTAATTATTGAATAGAATTTAACTAGGCAAAAATCTAGAAACAAATGACAGCAAGATATATGTGGAAAATGTAACAAGCACTTGATTGTTGTATTATAATGCATGAGAAATTAGATGTCTCAAAAGATAGGCATTACTTGAAATTATTTTTACAATGTCTAACAAAGCCTTTAAAGTTACATATTCACTCAATATATTTACACATTCAAAAACAGAAAAATCAGAACTGTAGAAAAACATAGGCATAAAAATTTTTACTACAATAGCAATTATAGTAAAGTTTTGAAATACATTCTTATATATCTTTACCATAAAGTACAACACATTATGGTGACTATAATATATTTTCAAGGAATATTTGATAATATTGGAAACTGTTCATAATTATCATGTTAATATGAAGATGTAGAAAACAGTTATTCACATGTCAGGGCAAGGCTGTTTCACAAAATATATTTGTTTATTTATGGATAGCAATATTCTTATAAAGTGATGCATATAAATGTTCACCATTTCACCCAGTAGAATAAATTTGTATGAATAATCCATAATACTAACAGTGTGTTCTGTATATGGTAAATGGAACCACAGATGTTTAACTTTTCTTGTTTCTTGTGTGCATCTTTCAAAATTTTATATTAATAAGATTTCAGATTTAAAATTATTTATCCAAATTAAATTTAAAGGAATTAGACTAATAAACATAATGCTTCTAATACTGCCAGAATATGAGATATGGATGCACATAAAAAATAACTAATCAATTTTTGGTGACTTAATTCAAGTATGATGAGCTAAAATGTCTAGATTATTAATATTATAATAACACAAAAATGATATAAACTGGGAGTACATATAGTATATTATAATAATCTCATACAATTTTTAATAGAATCCTAAACATTTAAGCATATATAAAAATAGGAAATTGCTATTTTAAAATTTGCATATATTAAAATATTAAATTTAGGACAGACAGATATGAGATGAAGTAACATTCTTTTCAGACCATTATTCAAAGATATGGTGACTGATGAAATCACTTAAGGTATATTTATTTATTCAATGGATAGATGAATGAATGATTTAGGGAATATACTCTTTTTTCTAATGATGTCAATTATTTAATAAGTTAGGACTTGATTTAAAAGTTAATATATTAGTGTTCATCAATTGTACTATTACTGTGACTACTTAGTATTATTGTGAATCAATCTATCTCTATGTTACATTGGCCTAATGTACACCAGATTGGCCAGGTTTAGCTAATAGTGGGCATAAAATTATTTGCATTTGTCAATGTCAAGCTCATTTCAGTTTTATCTGCTAGTCTTAAAGCTGTAATGCCCCTTGTAAATTAACACTACTATTATATTTACTGACTATCTTATTTTAATACCCTTTTTATATTTTAAAACAATGAGAGAAAATGCATAAACTACAGGACATGAGCTGAGAATAAAAGTTTAGTATTTTAAGCAGTAAGAGAATTTTCTGCAAATGGAATACATGAAATTTATAGATTAATGGACTAAGTAACAAATTGTTTAGGAATAGCCAGGCTTAGAACTTTATTGAACTAAACATATCTGAGATTTGCTACAATTACCAAACCATAAAATTCACTTCCATAAAAGAAAAGCTATTTTTGCATGAAAAATTAGGAAAGGCTCCAAGGGAAAATCATGTCTACCACTGACAATTTTCTATAAATAATTTCTTTTTCTCTCACTTCTTCACTCTCACCATGTCCAAAAACTTAGTTAAAAATGTAACTGCTGCTCACAGAAAGAGAACATAGAATATAATGAATGATCCACAAATCCTCTGCAAGTACAACTTCTCAGGTTATTTTTAGGCTGTTTCCTATATGGTGTGGAAAAGTAAAAGAGTAAGACAAGCATAAAACTCAGAGAAGGGAAGCAAACATGATATAAATTATTTTAGAAAAGCCTAACACCAACCATGACCGACTCTGACCAACATTTTTAAAAATTAGAAGCTGATGATAATAAATTGGGACATGTTGCTAATGCAGTTAAGAGCAAACAAAGGAGAGTAACATATTTCAAGAGGCAAAGAATTTTTTACTTTCCATCACTAATCAAAGGATGGTACCAGTTGGTACCTCCTACTATGCACAAAATGTGTGATACATGGGAATTTTTAAAGAGCCCATTTTTACTATTTATGCCTAAAAAAAGACCAAGTTATATTTGTTTATTATAACACTACTAGAACAACAGAAATAATTAAGATTTGTTGTTTTGCCTTAAATTCAACTTAAATTTCAGATAGTTTTGTTATTATATAGTAATATAATTTTGTTTCACTATTTTACTAGCTAAATTTCCATAATATTTGGATTTTCTTTTTTCTCCAAATAACTCAACTTACAATCGCTAACTGGCTATGCTCTTTTTTAAAAAAAGCTAATAGCTCTATGAAATTCCTGAGATAACAATATTTAAAATTAAAATGTATCAATTGTGTTTTTACTGTTTGGATTCTACAGCTGCTAATGTATTTAAATTTTCACAATCTATTATAAAAATGTTTCAATAATGTCTGCACAGAAACATTATAGTAGATTTTATAATTTACTTTAAATGAACTTTGATTCTTTCAGGAGGATCATACATACTTAAAAACATTTAGAAAGTGTTCTAAGAGGTTAGCGATGATTTCTCCTTTTAAATTCTCACTTCTAAGCAGTCTCTGTTATTGGTGAATTTTATAGCAGCCATAAACATGGGATATTTTGGAAGCTCAAACTATGAAGTACCTAATTCTATAGATGGCTGTAAAATATGTACAAGATAAAGATTAACTAAGGAAGAGATTTGAATATTTCTTGAGGCAAGACTTGAGAAATAAAGAGGGAGTCTCCTGAGAGATATTAATTGTCTTCACAGATATCGTTATGTACATGACACATGATAGGCTCTTTGTGTTAGGCAGAGTATAGAGCCCTGAAGAGCAGACAGCCTTTTCCCATGTGTAGCTTACAGACTAGAAAAGAAAGACATTCCTGGCAGAGGGAACAGCATAATTAAACGCTTAAAGCTGCAAAAGAACTTGGAGCCATCAGAGAATTGTGAATAACTTGTAACAGCTGGAATAGAGTATATGTGAGAGAAACAGAAGAAAGGAATAGAAACCATCCCACATAATCATTTTAATAAGACTGAAAATTCCTCTTTTAAAATTCTAAATTACTGTGGACTTCATGAATAACTAAGAGCAGACATTAACTATAAGCAGTTTTGCCTTGTTACCTATTTTGTACATTATCTTCAATTTTTATATTTTCCTATAGATATGAGACATTTAGAAAACATGTGATAAAAGACTATGGCTTTCTAAATTACTTCTTGGGTCATTGATTAGATCAGTGATAAACAGGATTTTACCAAATGTAGATTGATTTTAGAACTCCTATCTGAGTTTTGGGAGTTGCACATTTCCTAAGCTTACATTTTAGTTTTTCCCAGTAATTGATTGACTGTGTTGTAAATAATTGATAGCATTTAGTGAGTCTTTCTAAGAGCCCAGCACTGAGGGAGCAACTTACATATATTAAGATGAATACCTGCAAAAATACTGCAGTGTAGTTATTATCAATATGTATTGCCTTCTTCTCATACTGCTGTAGAGCTGCCCAAGACTTGGTAATTTATAAAGGAAAGAGGTTTAATTGATTCTCAGTTCCACATGGCTGGGGAGGCCTCAGGAAACATATAATCATGGTGGAAGACACCTCTTCAGAGGGCAGCAGAAGAATGAGTGTTCAGCACAGGACGCAGTGCCTCATAAAACCATCATATCTGACTGAGAACTAACTCGCTATCAGGAGAACAGGATGGGAGAAATTGCCTCATGATTCAGTTATGTCTACCTGGTCCCACCCAGGAGACATGGGGATTATGGGGATGACAATTCAAGATGAGATTTGGGTGGGGACACAGCCAATCCATATCACAATACTATTTTAAAGAAGAGAAAACTTTGTCTGAAAGAAGTAATTAACTTTCACAATGCCACAAAATAAACACCAGAGCTAAAATACACCTCTTTTGTGTCAGGCTCAAATTTACACACACACACATATAAACAAACATAAGTGCATTCTCATTTTTTTTTTTATTCCACTACAGTTTCACTTTAGTTTAAATAACCTATATTTTTGAAATGTAGATAATTTAGATTTCCTGTTTTTCTTGAAATTACTTTAGCAATTTGAATGGTTTAAGTTTTGGCAAATGGCAAATTAGAATTTAAAGCTATTTATTCTTATCAGTAGTATCTTAATGATAGGTAATCATTTTATGTCACTCTATACTTCTCTATTCCAAGCTTATGAACTGTATTTGCACAGGAAGTATATGATGCGTTTGTGCTGATCCTTATAGCCCTTGATTAGTGTGATGGTTAATACTGAATGTCAACTTGATTGAATCGAAGGATACAAAGTATTGATCCTGGGTGTGTCTGTGAGGGTGTTGCCAAATGAGGTTAACATTTAGTCAGTAGGGTGGAAAAGGGAAACACATCCTTAATCTGGGTGGGCACAATCTAATCAGCTGCCAGCATGGCTAGAATAAAAGCAGACAGAAAAATGTTCAAAGAGAGACTGGCCTAGCCTCCCAGCCTACATCTGTCTACCATGCTGAATGCTTCCTGCCCTCAAACATCACGCTCCAGGTTCTTCAGTTTTAGAATTCGGACTGGCTCTTCTTGCTACTCAGCCTGCAGATGGCCTATTGTGGAACCCTGTGATCATGTGAGTGAATACTTAATAAATGCCCCTTTATATATATATGTAATAAATATATGTATAAACTCCCCTTTATATATATTAATTATACATAAATAATATGTTTATATAAATTATATATATTTATATATAATTAATATATATTCTATATAAATATATATTTAGATATTTATTAATATATAATATAAATAATATATATTATATAAATATATAAACTATATATACCACTAGTTCTGAACTTACAGAGAACCCTGAGAACTCCACTTTATATATATATATATATATATATATATATATAAATATATATAAAAAATATTCCACTAGTTCTGAACTTACAGAGAACACTGAGTAGTGCAAATGGTTAATTCATTTGGAATCACTCCATACTTTGAATCTGAGCTTTAAAGCAAGACAAAACAAGTTGCCATTATGTACATGGACTATGCATCAGACTAATCTATGCATAATTTTTATAAATTAAAAATTTTAGTAATCAAAACATTCCTTATTGACTTTTCGTAACACTTTAAATGTCTGGGATTTCAGTTTTATTCTAAATATATTTTCTAATTGAAATTTGAAATGAAATAATATGCTTAAAATAGCTTGGAAATACTTTTTAAATTCATATTTCCACTGTCTTTAATCTCCTTCATAACTAATTCAACCACTGCACACGTCCAGGGTATCCTGTGCCGGGGCTCCCTCCATATAATTCTGTGTGATCCCTGAATGAATGAGAGATGAAGGGGTTTCTATCTAAATCTCATCACGGCATATACAAAATTTTTCATGGATGCAGTAGTTAAGAGAGGGTACTAATCTGTAGATAAGATTTCAATTCACTCCTCAAAACCGATTAATATTTGTCATTATTTTGGTATATTTGCTTTTGGATATAAATAAATCTTACTTAGCTTTCTGTTTTTCGTTAGAACACTTATGATTATAAAAATATTGGTTATCTTTTTTATCTCTGATATCTTCTTGAATAAGATGCCATGACTACAAAGAAAATGAAGTTGAGTATCTTCAGATATTTGTATTTTTCTGACTCCTGAGCATAAATAAAATTGCATATAAGAATGCATACTTTATAAAAATTTGTATTTATCATAAAATCTATAATAAGCTACATATATTAATTATAAATTCCACATAGCATATATGTACATATGTTCTTTTGGAGCTATATATATATAAACTTACTATAAGGCATATAAATAGAAAGATTTAAAACATATCTAAGGATTATTTGATATAATACTATAACTTATAACATATTTTCCTTACATATATGCTGTATAGTATAGCAGCCAGTATTATAGTCAAACCGTGAAACAGCATCCTATTTTCATATATGTGTGTGTGTGTGTGTGTGTGTGTGTGTGTGTGTGTGTGTATGTGTATATATACTTAATTAGCTATAGGGAAATTAGAATTAGCCTATCAGAGTAATTCAACTGCTTCTCTACTATCTGAAGTCAGTGAAGTATAAAAAATCAGAAAATGAAGCATAAATAAAAAATATTGTCATTTAAGCTTATGCTGAAATTTAGATGGGACTCAAGAGGCTAACTCATTGTTTAAAACCTTCATGAATACTTACAGAAAATAAAGTTCTAATTCTGTTGCTGGCAAAAACTTACTAAACCTATAACTATTATTTAAATTTAAAGTAACTCTTCCATTCCTGGTTATTCTGAAATGCATCAATCATCTAAAAACAAAGGTTCACAACCACCTATATTATAATCGGTAGTAATCAGAGAAAAAAAAAATGATGCTTACTGAGTTTCTTTGTACCTTGTGGAACTTTAAAGAAGACATTCATCAATCACTTCTATAGAGAAAATAATACTGAATTAAGTGGATTAATATCCCAAGTGTTTGTTATAAACTTACTGACCTGATTAATTATATTTAAAATGGGCTTATTAGAACATTTGCTGGTGATATATAAGGCACTTTTAAGATGAAGTGAGTTTCTATATACCAAAACAATTTGAAAATATGTAAAGTTGAAGCAAATTTATTTCAAGACTGAGATCAGTTATTATAGTTCTAATTAAAGTGTAGCAGTCCACATGAAAGAGTATTTCATGAACTAATCTATAAGAAGCATCCAATTAATTTAAGAACAGTTAAATCCCTTCATTTAAAATTGAGTGGTAAATAGATGATGTTTAATAAACACTAATCATCTAAATTTTTTATATTTCTAATTTTAAATGTTATATCCACTGTGATAATTCTATCTATAGCTATACAGATACAGATGTAGAATATATAGTATAGGCTATTCTTGCATTGCTTAGAGAAATACCTGAGAGTAGGTAATTTGTAAATAAAAAAGGTTTCATTGGCTCATGGCTCTGCAGGCTGTACAAGAAACATGGCTTCTAGTGAGGCCTCAAGAAATTTTTATTCATGATGGACGGTGAAGTGGGAGCTTGCATGTCAGGAGTAAACCAAAGTGAGGGGATGGTCACCAGACCTCCTGTGAACCCAGAGCAAGGGCTCACTTATCACCAAAGGGATGGCCCAAGCCATTCATCAGGGATCCGCCCCTGTGATCCAAACATGTTCCACCAGGTCCTACCTTCAGCATTGGGGATTATAATTCAACGTGAGATTTGAGACAAATATACAAACTATGTCAATATACATATATCAGAGATATATATTCAGACATAAAGAGTCTGTTGCTTCTTCTGGAACCCAATTCAAGAGAGCAAAGCATTTGAGGAATGCATAATTAAAATGAAATAGTGTGTTAATAATTATCCACATGATCCACAGGAAAGGTGTCTATAGCCTTTTATAAATACCAAATACCAATACACCCTTTTATAAATACCAGCTTTTTTAAATACCAGAATATCAAGGTTTAGAGGAAAGTCTATACACATGTTATATTGTATCTTGGGAAGAAGACAAAAGTCTCATATAAATAATATTTACATTTTTTGGCTGGCAAGGAAGAAAAACTGTTACCATCTTATGACTATACACATTAATTGATTTTCTTTGATGGTTAATAATGTCTATATGTTTTCTTCAAGTGTTTATAGTATTCTATATGCCTGTAACTCAATGTCTACAAATACTATATGACATTGCATTTATTCCAAACAGATGAGATTGGATATCCTCACCCAAACACCAAAACAACAAAAAAAATCAAGCTGTCTCAATTTTCTCAATGTTATGGTAAAAAAAATATTTTTGTTTACATTTGCATTTATTTCACTACTAAAAAGATTTATTTTGTATTGCTTTTTCAAGTATTTATATTTCTTTTTTTAAAATTTATTATACTTTAAGTCCTGGGGTACGTGTGCAGATTGTGCAGGTTTGTTACATAGGTATACACGTGCCATCGTGGTGGTTTGCTGCATCCATCGCCCTGTCACCTACATTGGGCATTTCTCCTAAAGCCGTCCTTCATCAATCCCCCCGATTCCTGCTACTCCTCCCCTGACCCCCAACCACCCAGGCCCCAGTGTGTGATGCTCCTCTCCATGTGTCTGTGGGTTCTCACTGTTCAACAGCCACTTGTGAGTGACAACATGCAGAATTTGGTTTTCTGTTCTTGTGTCAGCTTGCTGAGAATGATGGTTTCCAGTTTCATCTATATCCCTGCAAAGGACATGAACTCATTCTTTTTTATGGCTGTATAGTATTCCATGGTATATCTGTGTCACATTTTCTTTATCCAGTCTATCATTAATGGGCATTTGCGGTGGTTCCAAGTCTTCGCCATTGTGAACAGTGCTTCAATGAATATACGCGTGCATGTGTCTGTATAATAGAATGATTTATAATCCTTTGGGTATATACCCAGTAATGGAATTCCTGTGTCAAATGGTATTTCTATTTCTAGATCCTTGAGGAATCACCACACTTTCTTTCATAAGGGTTAAATTAATTTACACTCCTACCAACAGTGTAAAAGCGTTCCTATTACTCCACATCCTCTCCAGCATCTGTTGTGTTTAGTGATCACCATTCTAACTGGCCTGAGATAGTGTATCAATGTGGTTTTGATTTGCATTTCTCTAATGACCAGTGATGATGAGGTTTTTTTCATTTGCTGTTGACTGCATAAATGTCTTCCTTTGAAAAGTGTCTGTTCATATCCTTTGCCCACTTTTTGATGGGTTGTTTTTTCTTGTAAATTTGTTTAAGTTCTCCGTAGATTCTGGATATTAGCCCTTTGTCAGATAGGTAGATTGCAAAATTTTTTTTCCCATTTTGTTGGTTGCTGGTTCACTTTGTTGATAGTTTCTTTTGCTCTGCAGAGCTCTTAAGTTTAATTAGATCCCGTTTGTCTATTTTGATGGGGATAGCATTGAATCTGTAAATTACTTTGAGTAGTATGGCCATTTTCATGACACTAATGCTTCCTAACCATGAGCATGGAATGTTTTTTCTTCTGTTTTGTCCTCTCTTATTTCTTTTGGCGGGGGGTTAGCAATTCTCCTGAAGAGGTCCTTCACATCCCTTGTTAGTTGTATTCCTAGGTATTTAATTCTCTTTGTAGTAATTGTTAATGGGAGTTCACTCATGATTTGGGTCTCTGTTTGTCTATTATTGGTGTATGGGAATGTCTGCAATTTTTTGCACATTGAGTTTGTATACTGAGGCTTTGCTGAAGTTGCTTATCAGCTTTAGGAGATTTTGGGCTGAGACAATGGGGTTTTCTAAATATACAATTATGTCATCTATAAACAGGGACAATTGACGTCCTTTCTTCCTATTCAAAGACCCTTTATTTCTTTCTCCTGCCTGATGGCCCTAGCCAAAACTTCCAATACTATATTGAATAGGAGTGGTGAGAGAGGTTATCCTTGTCTTGTATAAGTTTTCTTTTTATAAATTGTTTTTTGCATTTATATCTTTTTGATTACCTACATTCCATTGATGGATATATGTGGTGTGTTAATAGGATGTTCTATTAAAAAAAGTAAGGGTGTCTTTTGTGCAATACTGCAGACATTCTAAGACTATGCATCATTTTTTTCTCTTCTTTCCTAACTCCAGACATACATACACCACCTTTTCACCGCAGAACAAAATAGCATTATATTTCTGGAAGATTTAGTTTATTTTTCCACAAATTTATTGGATCTGTGAGTTTATAATGCTCATCCATTTGAGACATTATTTAGCCACTCTATTAGTTTTCCAGTGAGGCAGAACCAATAGGATATATTTATATTTAAAAGATCTATAAAAGCTTAATTACAGGAATTGGCTGAGATGATTATGATTATGGAGGTGGAGAAGTCCCACAATGTGCTGTGTGCAAGCAGAAGAACCAGGAAATGGGTGTTGTAATTCAGTTCAAGTTTGAAGTCATGAGGACCTAGTAGCGAATGATGTATCTCACAATCCATGGCCAAAGACCTGAGAACTAAGGGGAACTGCTGGTGAGTTCTAGAATTCAAAGGCCCAAGAAACTGGAGCTCTGGTGACCCAGGGCAGGAGAATGTAGCTATCCCAGCTCCATATGGGAGAATTCTTCCTTCCTTCTTTTTATCCTATTAGAGTGGGCCCTTAACATACTGGGTGATGCCCACCCACATTGATGAGGGCAGATCTTCTTTACTCAGTATACTTATTCAGATGATAATTTGTTTCTGGAAACGCCCTCCCAAACACATCCAGAAATAATGCTTTATCAGCTTTCTGGGCATCCCTTAGTCCCGTCAAGTTGAGACATAAATTAACCATTGTAGCCGTTACTCATTCACATAGTATTTAAACATTTTCTATTTCCCACTCTTCTTCTTGAACTCCAGTTACATGTTTAGTAAACCACACTGTTTGACGAACAATTTCCTTTTTCTTCTTTTTAAAAAGCATTCTCTGTTTTAATAGTCTCGATAATTGGGATGCTATATTTTACAGTTCACTAATCTTTTTAAAAATAGATTGAATTATAATTGACATGCAAAATACTACATATGTTTAATGTATACAATTTCATGAGTTTGGATATATGCATGCATCTGTGAAACAGTTACCGCAATAAAGGTAATAGATGTATCCATCACCTTGAAAAATTTTCTTGGGTCCCTGCCTCAATTGTTAACTATAAGTGCTTTATTTTAAAGGAGATCTCTAGAATTTACTCATCTTGCGTAACCGAAACTTTATACCACTTGAACAGCTCCTCAATTTTACCTGTCCCCAAGTCCTGGAAAGCAGCGTTTAATTTTCTGTGTCTGTGGGTTTGACTATTTTACATGATCCTAAACACTCCACATTTACAGAAATACCTGTTAGAACTAATAAACTAATTCAGTAAGTGAGAAAATCTCATATAAGTGGAACCGGGCTGCATTTTTTTTTCTGTGACTGGCTTATGTCACTTAGATAATGTCTTATAGGCTCATCCATGTTGTTGCAAATGGCAGGCTTTCCTTCTTTTAAAAGTCTGAAAATACTCTATTGTATGTATATATTGTATTTTTATTAATCATCCATTTTCCACAGACATTTAAATTATTTCCATATTGTGACTACTGTGAATAGTGCAATGCACATAAATACACAGATATCTCTTTACAGTGTTAAGTCTTATGTATAATTCTTTAATCCATTCTGAGGTGATTTTGGATATGGTGATGCCCATTCTTACCACCTCTATTTACTTTAGCTCTGGACGTCAGCCAAAGCAATTAGAAAAAAAAAGTGATATATCAAAACTGGAAAGGAATAAGTGCAATTATCTCTGCTTGCAGATGACATGGGCTTCTACATAGAAAACCCTACAGACCACACAAACAGACACAGACACACGCTCACACACACACACATTTTAGAACTTAACTAGTTTTGCAAAGTTGCAGGTTAAAAATATTAACATAAAATCAGTTTTCTTTCTGTATATTAACAACAAACTATTTCAGAAGTTAGAAAAATAATTTTGTTTAAAATCACATCAAAAAGAATAAAATACTTTGAAATAAACTTCACCAAGTAGGTCAAAGACTTATACCTTAAAAACTACAAATTATTGATAAAAGAAATTTTAAAAGACACAAATAAATGGAAAGACACCCTGTGTTCATGGATTGGAAAATTTAATATTGCTAAAATGTCCCAAACCCAAAGTGATGTACAGATCCAATGCAGTCCACATCAAAATAATAATGGCATTTTTACACAAATAGGAAAACAATTCTAAAATTGACATGGAAACACAAATGATTTCAAATATACAGTTACCTTGTGAAAGAAGAACAGAGCTGGAGGCATGAAATTTCCTGATTTAAAGATATATTTTGGAGCTACAGTAATTAAAACTGCATGCTACTGAATAAAAATGGGCCCCAAATAAACCAATAGGACAGAATAGAGAACCCAGAAATAAACCCACAAATACACAGTTAACTGCTTTTCCATAAAAGTGCAAAGAATATAGAATGGGGAAAGAGCAGTCTCTTCAATAAATGGTGCTGGAAAAACAGAATATACACGTTCAGCAGAATAAAACTGGACCCTGATTGTTTTCTGACTTTTTCTTAGGAGTTCTTTAATCTGGCATTAAGCCTATCCAATAAATTTTTATTTCAGATAATTGCATTTTATCTCTTAGAAGGTTTTTTTTTTTCTTTTTTCACCAAGTTTATGTGACTCTTTAGGTGCTTTATTTAAAATATTTTGACAGCTTTTCTTCCAATTCCATGATTTCTGTTCATTTTAGGTCTGATTCTATGGACTGTTTTTTTACTTGCTTGTGGGTCATTCTCTTCTTTTACTTTGCATCTATTTTTTTGAAAGACTATTGCCTATCATTAATCTTACACTATGATTTTCTGAATAAAAAAATGCAAGCTTTTAAATTACTTTCAGATCAGCTTGATTACCTTTAGGCCAGTTTTAAACTTTGTTAGGACAGGTCTAAAATAGCTTTTAATCTTCGTATATTTCAGTCCTCCTCCTGATGTTACTATGGATAGCTCCAGTATTCAATGAGACTTCTCCGTGCTGGCTCGTTAGTACTGGGAATTTTTTATTTTTGAGCTCTGAGAATTATTTTTGAGCTCTTAGAATTATTTAGCTTAGAGTGATTTCACAAAATTTCTGGATTATTCATCTAATGTCTGTGGGATCAGTAGTGATGATTTCCTCATTTCTGGTAAAGGCAATTTCTGCTCTTCCTCTCCTTTTTTCTTCCTTGGCCTGGCCACAGAATTATCAACAAGGTTTTGCTTTCAGTTATTTTCCATGTTGTTTTCTCTTTTCAATTCTTTTGCTTTCTACTATTCATTATTTCATTCTTTCTGCTTATTCTAGGTGTAAGTTACTCTTCTTACTTTCAGATTCCAAAAGTTTAGGTTACTAATGTATATATTTTTTTATTTTCTTACAAATTCATTCAATATTATAAACTATCCTCTAGCATCAATATTTAAAATTTTAATGAGTTGCATTCTTGTTTTTATGTAGCCTACAATAGTTTTTGTTTATCTCATTTAGAAATGCATCATAATTTCTAAATATTTAGGAATTTTTTTACATATATTTCTGTTACTGGTATCTGGTTTAATTTTGTTATGAACTAATAAAATATTTTATATGATGTGTAGTATTTTTAAAACTTTTTGAAGTTTATGGTTTTAGCATGGCTAAGGTTAATTCTTCCTATGACCTGGGTAAAAATGTGTGTTCTGTTATTGTGTAAAGCATTATATAAATGCCTATTAGGACATTTTAGTTGTTAGTCTCAAGGTCATTTATAGCCTTCGTATTCTGCCTACTTTATTAATAACAGAAAGCATATAGTTGGCTTTTGTTCTTGTATTTAATCTTTCACTCTGTTTTTTATCTGGTAGTTTTAGACACAGAATTAGCAAACCATGGCTCAAAGACCAATTATAGCGTATCACCTGGTTTTCTAAATAAAGTCATATTGGAAGCCGCCACACTCATTTGTTTATGTACTGCTTATGACTGCTTTTGCATAACAACAGCAGAGTTGAGTTATTGCCAGATATAACATATCTTCCTCCAAGCCTGTAATATCTACTATCCAATTCTTTGCAGAAAACAGAGTTAAAAAAATGACTGAAGCTAATTGGTGAATAGATTCTTAAATTGCATACATTATTTATTTGTTGTTGAATAACAATGTTACCACAACATTATTTGCATAAAATAGCGTGCATTTATTACCACAGAGTTTTTGTTAATTAGGAGTCTGGTTACATCTTAGGTGGCTCTTCTGTTTCAGAGCTTCACGAGGCTATAATACAAGTGTTGGTTGTTGATGTAGGCTCATCTCAAGGCAGAACTGAGGAAGGATTCACTTCCAAGCTCACATGGTTCTTAGGACAAGTCAATTTCTTTATGTAAGGTTGGAGCCCTCGTTTTCTTTCTGGTTGCCAGGAAGAGGTCACCCTCAATTCCTAGCTTATGATTAATTGGAAACTTCTCCCCATTTCTTGGGCTCCTTAACATGACAGTATGCTTCGCCAAAGCCAGGAAAAAGAGTCTTCTAGCAAGATGAATGATACAGTCTCATGTAATATCATCATTGCAGTGATTATCATCTTTGCTTTACTCCATTGGTTGGTAGCAAATTCTGAATCTTGCGCTTACACCAAGAGAGAAGATTCATCAAAGCCATCAATACGAGGAGATGAGGATTTGGGATGCACTTTAGAGTCTGTCTGCTACAGTGTGTATCCCCCGTATTTGGAATTTTGTCCTCTTCAAGTCCCTGTCGTGTTGGCAACCTTGCCCCTTAAACTCTGCATTTTCGGTCCTGTAAAGAGTGCTGCTTTCAACTTGGGACCAAATTCTTCGTTCCTGTGTTTTGGAAAATGTCCTTGAAGACAAAGCTGTTGTAAATACAAAGCTTACCCTGCTTGTTCTTTCTGTTAAGAAATGTAGTCCCCAAACCTTGCCTGTATGTGCTTCCCTGAAATTTCTTCAAGTGGCTCCAAATATTTTTTTTTCCATTCTTTATATTTATATTTGGTTGTAGAGTTAGCCAATGGCTTTCTTCATCAAAATAGAAAAAACTATCCCAAAATTTATATGGAACCACAAAAGACCCAGAATAGGCAGAGATATCCTAAGCAAAAGAAAACCGGAGGAATTACATTACCTGACTTCAAATTATTCTACAGACCTACAGTAACCAGAACAGCATGCTAGTGGCATAAAAACAGACACACAGACCAATGGAACAGAATAGAAAATCCAGAAACAAATCCACACACCTACAGTGAGCTCCTTTTCAACAAGGGTGCCAAGAACATGGATTGGGGAAAAGACAGTCTCTTTAACAAGTGGTTCTGGGAAATCTGGATATCCATATGCAGAATAATGAGATTAGACAAACTTATATTTTACCATATACAAAATTCCAGTCAAAACAGAATAAAGACTTAAGTCTAAGGCCTCAAACTATGAACATGCTACAAGAAAACCCCAGGAAAACTCTCCAGGACATTGGTCTGGGAATAATTTCTTGAGTAGTACCCTACAAGCATAGGCAACCAATGTTAAAATAGACAAATGGGATCACATCAAGTTAGAAAGCTTCTGCACAGCAAAGGAAACAGTCAACAAAGTGAAGCAATAACCCACAGAATGGGAGAAAATATTTGCAAACTACCCATCTGACAAAAGATTAATTCCAGAATATATAAGGAGCTCAAACAAGTCTGTAGGAAAAAAATCTAATAATCAGGTTAAAAATGGGCGAAATAATCCGAGTCATGTCACCAAAATAAAATTTTTTAAAAATGGGCAAAATATTTAAGTAGACACTGTTCAAAAGAAGACATAGCAATTGCTGACCATCACAAATGCAAACCAAAATTACAATGGCGTTTGTTCTCACCACAGTTAAAGTGGCTTGTATCTAAAAGATAGGCAATAGTAAATGCTGGTGAGAATGTGGAGAAAGGGGAAGTCTCAGACACTTCATGGGAATTTAAATCAGTGCAACTACTGTGGAAA